TATGTCTATGAGGCCATAGGATTGGAAAGTTGGGACCCAGGTATCTTTGCAGGATGTTAGGCTGGGAGGTGGACTGGAGTAGATAAAGTAAAGGGTGCTCTGTTCTTCACAAAACTACCACTATCAAAAATGTCTCTTCATTGAGTGTCCTGGATCTGCCTCTGCCTTCTTTCACATCCTACTCTCATCCCTAGAGCCCAGGGGCATGGTCACAAAGGAACAAGACAGTTGTGCTTGCCATCGTGCAGCCCTTGAAACCTCCTGGCGGGCAAATGAGTCACCTCCCTGCCTACTGCACTCCACCAGATGTTCTGTTCCTTCTGGGCTGGCTGGCTTGCACAGAGGCTCATGCCCAAGGCCTGTTACCATGACTGCGTAATGTACGAAACTTGTTTGGATCCTGATTCAAACTAACAAACTGAAACAAAAAATTATACGTAAGCTCTTTCTGGATATTTGATGATATTAAGGAATTAATATTATTGGTTTTTAGTTGTGATAATGGTGTTGTGTTATTTTTGTTAAATGAGTCTTTATCTTTTAGAGATACTCCCTGACATGTTTCCAGATGAAAGGATGAGATATCTGGTATTTGACTCAAAATAATTTTGGAAAATGAGGCATGGGTGGAGATATAGATGAAACCAGATTGGCCATGGGTTAATAACTGTTGAAGCCGGTGAGGATGAAACCATGGGAGGTCAGTGTACAATTAATTATCTCTCTGTTTATGGAGGTTTAAATGTTTCCATAATAAACTAGTTAAGAAAGCAAAGAACAGTGAGAGGAAAGAGAGAGAGAGAGAGAGAGGAGGGAGGGAGGGCGGAAGGAAGGAAGGAAGGAAGGGAGGGAGGGAGGGAGGGAGGGAAAGAAAGGAAGAAAGAAAGAACAAATGAGAAACACGTCCCACGCAGGGTTTATCACAGTCTGTAGAAACAACTGTCATGTGTCAATGAAAGGTAACTAACCCACTCTGCAGAACCATTTTCTATACAGAAATAAATCCCCAGTCCACCTCCCCAAAGTGGGTTTAAGATTCTGGGACTTGAAGACCTGGTGTTTCATTTGCATATTTGCATATTCATAAATGCATCAAAGACAAGCGTCCTGTGTAGACCTTGGTGCCCCTCAGCCCCTGTGGCCTCTTGACAAGCCCTTTCACCCCTGAACATGGTGGACGCAGGGAGGCAGCTTTGTTGGGCCACCCTCATACTTTCAGGCATTAGCTTCACAGATGGCACAGCAACAGCTCAGGGACTGGAGGGCGGTTGTTCTCCACAACATAATTCCAGACACATATTTGAACACAGGAAAAGAGAAGAGTTTACCAGTCTCTAAAGTAAAAAGAGCTCTTGAGAAGAGAAATGTGGATGAGGAAGGTTTTCTTTATCAGCATGAGGCAGGAGTATGAGGCCACCTGTCCCCGGGCAGGACGCTTGAGTCTCAGGGAGTTGGAGACCCAGCAAAGAGTGCAGGCACTGGAAGGCATGCTCCTGCCCAGCTTCTTGTGAGGAGCATCTCTGGGGGAGGGATGGAGCCTCAGGGTCTGTCCCAGGGCTCTCTGCTCCAACCCCACTGCCCTCGGGAAGTTCTGCTGCCCCACCAGCTAGGGACACACAGGGCAAGCTGCTTGACCACTCAGTGATACGGGAATAGGACTGCCCGCCTCACACAGAGCCTGTAAGGATCATGGGAAATCAAGGTATCCTTTCATGGAAATGGTTCCCTGAGCTCTGATTCATCCCCTGGCAGCAGGCTGCTAAAGAACGCAATGGCACATTTCCTCCCCAGCTCCTCTGAGCAATCCTCTCCCCCAGGCGACCACCTTGGGGGCCTTGGCCCTCTCCTGTCCTCCCTCCACCCAACCCAGGATTGCTCACAGCCCTCACACATACAGCCTCAGGGTGGTTCCCCACTGGCCTGGTTCCCTTGTGGTCCTGCTGGCTCTCTGGGGCTGGTCATGGATATCTGGATCTCCACTGCTCTTCTCTGAGGCTAGTGAATGACAAAAGTCTGGTTAGGATGTCCTAGAGTGTTTGCAAATCTCTCAGCCATGAACAAGTCTGCCCCTTCCTCAGCAACCCCTTGTTCACCTCTCTCCCTCCTCCCCTAGCCTTTTCGTTCCCCCCCCTCCCCTACCTCTCTGATCCCGGCCATCCTCAACATCCAACTGGAGCCTCACCCCCTCCAGGGAGCCCTCACTGACTGCCAGCCCCTCACGGGTCCCCTCTCTCTTCCTCACACTCTGTCCTCGGATGCTCTCCTTGCTTTACACATCCCAAGAGATATCACCCCAGATAGAAAGGAGCACCCAAAAATACTGATTAATGGAGTAAATCAAGCATGATGGAGTGGGCTGAGGAAGGATAAGGGTGATGACATTTAGTGCTCCTGCAACACTTCCACAGAGCACTTTCACTCAACTCACTGGATTGATCTTAAACCCCCAGAAGCAGGGGGCACAGGCCAGCACCTCTTCTCTCCCTTGCTTTTTCCCTCACTCCTCTGGCTCAAACAGCCGTGTATCTGGAGCAGTACTCTGTGCCATGCCCTTTGTATCCCTTATCTCCTTTGCTTCTCACCACCTGAAGGTAGGTAGTCAGAGCGTCCCCATTTTACAGATGTGGAAACTGAGGCACAGAAGGGATAAGCAACTTAACCAAGATCACTCAACTACACAGTGACACAGCCAGCTTCAAACCAAGTGTTCTGCCTCTAAAGCCTGCCCTCACAACCAGCCCCCAGCTGCAGGTCACAGCACAGCCTGCAGGGGCTACACTTGGGAGAGTCCTCCTGGGAGGAAACCCAGCAGGGCAGGAGTATACTTAGCCACTGGGAGACTAGACAAAGACAGACAGGAACCAGGCAAAAGCAGGCTGAACTAAGTGCCATGTGCCCGGCCACCCAGCTCAGAAGACTGAGGCTGGGTGAGCAGATGACCAAAGTTGCCAGGGGAGGGAGGAGTGGCCAGACCTTGGTTCTTTGGGATGAACAAAGGAGAACCGACTAGAGAGGTGGGGAAAGGGCGGGCCTCTGCCTAGTGCACGAGGGGACCCACTGGGCATGGCAGAGAGCACTGACCGGCCCTCACTGTGCACCTTCAGACTGGGCGGGGCGGGGATAGGCTGCCCCACTGTCCCAGTGAGATGAGCCCTGGGCTGACCAGGGAAGGCTGCAGAGCCAAAGCCTGTGTGAACGACTGATGATGTGAGCGTTGAGATGAGATGGGAAACAGGCCTGATGAGGGGTACAGCTGTCCACAGCCATGGCCCTCAACCAGGGGTGATTTTGCTACCCCTGGCCCCCGGCCTGGGGCATTTGGCAATGTCTGGAGACATCTTTGTGGGAGGTGCCAACTGATATCTGGCATGTAGAAGCCAGGGATGCTGCTAAACCTCCTACATTACGTAGGACAGACCCCTCCCCACCGAAAAAAATTATGTGGTCCAAACTGGAGACAGTGCCAAGGTTAAGAAACCCTGGTGTAGAGCAGGGCAGGTGAGAGAGGCTGAAATCCAAGCCACTCCCTGGGATGAAGCTGCCCCTTCTCTGATGAAGAGGTATCTTTTCCTAACTCAGCCAGATGTAGTGTGAGGACTTACAAGAGCCTGGGGAGGGTGGGCGGGGAGCGGGTGGGGTTGGAGCCATGGTAGGGCTAGAGTGGGAGGAGAATGTACCTGCTGTCACCTAGGCTGTGAGTTGTGCAAAAAGCAATTTAAAAGAGCTGTTCAGTCTTTAACAGAGGTCAGAAAGTCAGCCCACATGATTATGTCATCTCCTTGCTGGCAAAGACAGAGGTTTTAAAACACCGTGACATACCCACCAGGTGAGAAACGAGATGCGCTCAAAGATCTTCACTGCAGTACTGCTCCTAGAGTAAAAGATCAGAAAATAATATATACATAAATGTCCAGCAGTGGGGGACAAGCTGGATACACAATGGAATATCCTGCGAAAGAATGAGGTCTCCAGAACAGAGTAAGTGAAAAAGGCTAAGTGCACAACACTGTGGAGTGTTGTACTGCCACTAGGTGAAAGCGGAGGGGAAAGTCAACAGTGTATTGATAATTGCTTACATTTGCATAAAACAGTGGCCCTCAAACTTCACTCTGCAGAGGGCCTTTTTTTAACCATACTTACTTCAAGCAACATCAGCCTTGCTTATTTTTATTTTTTATTTATTTTTTAATTTTATTTTTTATTTTTGGCTGCGTCGGGTCTTCGTTGCTGTGCGTGGGCTTTCTCTAGTTGCGGCGAGCAGGGGCTACTCTTCGTTGAGGTGCGTGGGCTTCTCATTGTGGTGGCTTCTCTTGTTGCAGAACACAGGCTCTAGGCACGTGGGCTTCAGTCGTTGGGGCACGTGGGCTTCAGTAGTTGTGGCGCACGAGCTCTAGAGCGCAGGCTCAGTAGTTATGGCGCACGGGCTTAGTTGCTCCGCGGTAAGTGGGATCTTCCCGGACCAGGGATCGAACATGTGTCCCCTGCATTGGCAGGCGGATTCTTAACCACTGTGCCACCAGGGAAGTCCCCCAGTCTTGCTTTTATTTGGGGGAGGGATGTGGGGAGTGCCCCACTTTTCTTTCCCGGAGTTGAACTGCCCAGCTTTCTGGATCCTGGATCCCCGCCGGCCACGCGCGCTGTAAGCCTGTAAGTGGTCTCTTTC